TGCAATAGCTTGTAAATGAGCTCTTTGAACACGAAGTGGATCCCTGTAAAGGAGTTCCTTGACGTCAGGATCAAACCCTTCCTAGGAGGGGCTCCCTCCTTCTCTCTTTTCTTTGGGGCTAAGTTTTTTCCTTTACTCCCCGCCAAATCATCTTCTATCTTGTAATACTTGTTGATGTGGGCCATTAGCTTGCCCATGTCCACTGGTGTTCACTTCATTAAAGACCTATAAAGATCTGTGTCCCGAGACAGGCTGAGTATAAAAGAGGCCGCTGTCATGACTTCAAAACATCCTTCCACCTTGTTCATGTTCTCTCAACAACGAGTGGTGTACTAGTGGAGTGTTTCACCTTCTTTCCGCCAGAGGGTCAATAGGGATCCGACATCCTTAAGGCGTTTGCTCCTCGTAATGAATTACACAGAGAACTATCTGGTCAGCTCCCTCTAGGACCCTATGTTATTTGGTGGAAGGGTCTCAAACCACTTCATGGTCGTATCGCCTAGACTCATCAAAAACACCTGACACTACAACCTACGATCTGAGTGATATAAGAACATCATTTGCTTGTACTGTTGGAAGTGAGCCTCTAGGTTGGAATGTCCATCATAAACCATGAATCACGACACCATAAACTTCTTTGGTACCTCTATCTTCATGATGTTTTTGGTGAATGGTGACAAAATGGCTTCGTCATTTGTATTTGCATCGGGGGTGGACTTGTCCATCCTCATGGAGTCTAACTTGGACCTAAGGTTTGCCCCATCCTTGTGGTGTCTCCTTTCATTATCATCATGGTAGGCCGCATGTCCCCTGGCTCCTCTATTCTTGACAGAGAGGGTTGACCCTTTTAGTAGACCCCTCAACGCCCCCTCGCCTAGACAGTCTCTGACAGAGGTCGTTCCAAGCCAAAGGCCTGACCTTTTTAGTCGGGACCTCTTGGTTCTGTCCATTGGCCCTCTGGAGCTTCAGAGTCCTGGAGCTCTCTGCTCTGCCACTAAGTCAATTCCTCAAGTCACTAGCCCCTACCTCCTTGATGGAAGGCTCTTTAGACGGTCGTAAGTTTTAAGAAACCCCACGGGAGAGTGCAAACTCATCAATTCTATTGAGGATGTTTACATTGTTCTCCTTGATTTTCCTTAGACGTTATCCCAACTACTCCTCAATGAGATCAACAAGTTGACAGGCCAAGGGTTGATTAGCATAAAACATTGCATATTTTATGTACTTGTACATCCCTTTTACACTTGCTTTTATAGTTAAAATGAGCAAAATTGTAATGTTTGAGCTTTTAATGTAGTTTTGGTATGTTTACAGGAAAAAGGGTTCAAATGGTGCTTGTTAGGCCCTATCATGATGCTTGAGTTGATTGGAGATGAGGTGGAGGCTTGATGTTTGCTTGAAAGATGGAGGAACCAAGAATTTTGCAAAACAAGGGAAAACCTACCGGTAGGTTTTAGCTACTGGACCTGCACCTACCATAAACCTACCAATAGGTTTTGCTCACTAGAGTGAAATCTACTGGTAGGTTTTCATCGACCTACCAGTGGGTTTTATTGACACAGGACAGATTCTGCATCTCAAGCTCTGTAACATTGAGGGTCCCACCATTGGGTCTCCCACTCGTCCCTGACACTCCTTACACACAAGACACCCTTTTCACCCTAGCTTGGACTTTTGGATGCTTGGACATACATGAGGAGAGAGAGAGGGTGAAGCTAGGTGTGCGGGCTAGGCCTGCACTAGCCTGTCCAACCTATCGTTTTCAGCCCCCTATTGATTGGGATCACATCACAGAGGCTAGGGAAGACTCAATGGACATTTTTGAAGGCTCCATTCAACATGAGGGGATATACATTGTAATATAGAGAGAGAAGCTTAGAGGTTCCAAGGAAGAAGATGAATAATGCTAGAGGGAGTAGTGAATATTTTTGCATTTTCTTCCATACATTGCCTTATAATCCATTGTAAGACTTGTTTAAGCTTTGTTTAATATCTTTAATGTCATTTAGTATAAGTTCATTTCAAGTTTAGTCTTACATTTTGGATTTCACCATTAATGCATTTAAGCTTTCTTCATTTCAAGCTTTAAAATGGGTATTCAATGCATTTCTTCTTAGTCAACTTTTTTTTTAAAATTAGTTTAAGTCCCTATCTTCATTTCTTCTTTATGTCTCTTTACATTATTCAAGTCTTTCATTTTATCATGAGTAGCCAAGCTTTTAAGTTGGCTAATCCAAAGGAGATCGCCTCTTGGGTATGCTATTTTAACTCATTTTCTTTCCTCCTCGTAGTGTACGTTGATTCGGTTTGACTGGGTTGAGTGTGGACATGGTTGTGAATCTTTGATATCCTATAGACTTGTCATGAGGTATGCTTGGACCCTCACCTCCATCCTAGTCCCGCGCTTCCCACGAATCAATCGAACATCTAGCTACCATTGGGGGAAGGTCTCAAGTTGAGTTGGCATTCCCATTGGAATGAACCCTTCGGATTAGCCAACACTTATTTCCCATTTCATTTCTATGAAAAACAACAAACCACCAAACTCAAACAATAAAGATTTTTACACTTTTCAATTTTTACCAAAATTACTTTCAACACGATTCACCTCCTTCCCTGAGGAGATGACCTTGGAATACGATTTTCAAGTAAAACACGACACTCAAAAGTCTCTCTGTGCTTGGGGAGCACTTTTGTCCACACACACACATACATTTCATTCCACCATTATTCCGTTTTCCCATTTCTTGCATCATTATAAGGGAGAGTGACACTCCCCTATCCCTATAAGCCATACACACATTGAGGAATGATGTTCGGAGATTAGGGAGTACAATGGAAACAATCAAGCATAAAACCCATCTCTTTTATTCCGAAGACTCAGTTCAGTTTGGCGAGTTCTTTCTCTAGAACACACTAAAAGCTCCTTGTTGACGCTTTCAACGTGATCCTCTGTTCTCGAAATGGATGGAGCTAGCACATCCATGTTCCTTTACTGAGGACGCACCCTATCATTTCAAACGCGTGTTCACCATGGTCACTGTCACTTAGAAGACTTGGTTGTTTTCCATGACGGTGCCAAATTGTGCACGATGATTTCTGCACCATAAATAATCGATAGATCTCTCCTTTGATGAATAATAGTTTACCTAGGAAGCCAAAGGTTTCGCAGCAAGAAATGGTGATGAAGCCCTCCATAAACTATCTGGTCACCTTTGGGTTATCGAGTTGAGTCTTTTCACTCAAAAATAAAGGTTAGATGGATGTCGTAGTGTTTTCTGGCATGACCCCTCCGACGATCAAGTCAGTATGTGAGAGAGGGGTGGAAAGACACTGTTCTATTGCTTGGGTGAGATTTTGTGTACCTTAGATTTGTGTTTGTGAGAGCTATTTATACCTCAATGGAATTAATCATTCCAGGCAGCTGGGTCCCTTGGAGAGAAGACTTGTCATTGGCTCATTTGGAAGGCATCATGTGGCACATAGTCCTTGTGCAGAGCACCTTCCTCTTCATGTGGAAGAAGTTTTTGCATTTAATGCTCAAATCCTCAAGAATTTAATGCTTACCTTTTTGGGTTCACCGAGCAATAAATATGTCCCATCCTTCTAAGGGATCATTTAATGTTCCCCACAATTACGCACACATGAGGCTATTTTCGTCCATTACCTCCAAGGGGATAACACTTCAAAGCTTTACTCCTCTTGTGCCCTTATCATTGGCAAACAAACTATCTTTCCTTTCATCCTAATAGCCTAGGAAAAGGGCTGAATGACTAACAACCAACTCTGTTCCCAAGTCACGATAGCCGTTAATACACTACCCACCGCCAACATGGGGGGAGTACCTGAGGGGACCTGAGACGCCGAGTATAGGTGTTCGACAATGAAGGCTCTGGGGGAGCTTGGCATCGAGGACACGTGTCATAGAGAGGGTGCTTGAAAGGATCTTGATGTGGATGACACATGTCAAACACCAAACGCCTCGGGCACCTTGTATGTTGAGGACACGTGTCAATTGCAAAAGAACTTCGAGAGCATCGATGCCAAGGACACGCATCAACCTATAGTGGATCCACCACTGTAGTGTTGAGGACATGTGTCAACCCCCCATAAATCTCCTAATAAGTTCTATCAAATGCAATTAACTTAAAAGTCACAAAGAGAAGCAAAATAGATTAAAAAGAGTCACCAATTTTTTTGAATCATGTTAATGTTGAGACTATAAAAGGAAAGTGAGGTTGTAATATTAAAAGAAAGTGAGTTTATTGTTTTGCTATGAAAAGTGAGCTCCACTTTGAAGACTTGATATATAATTAGACTTCAAAGAGACTTGAATTAATTTTAGAGACAAAAGTGAGCTAAGTCTAAAAGTTCCAGTGCTTCGAATTAGAATTGCACATGCGTGTAGTGAGTTGTAGGGCACACTTAGCCCATTCTTGGCACTTTTTTGGCGCATTTGGCATGTGGTGCAAGATTCAAATTCTCTCTATTATTGTTTTCTTTTAATTTTCTTTTTGGCATATCATTTACTATTAATAATTGAGAGATCAACTTGTATATAGTGTTTCNTTCTAGGCAGCTGGGTCCCTTGGAGAGAAGACTTGTCATTGGCTCATTTGGAAGGCATCATGTGGCACATAGTCCTTGTGCAGAGCACCTTCCTCTTCATGTGGAAGAAGTTTTTGCATTTAATGCTCAAATCCTCAAGAATTTAATGCTTACCTTTTTGGGTTCACCGAGCAATAAATATGTCCCATCCTTCTAAGGGATCATTTAATGTTCCCCACAATTACGCACACATGAGGCTATTTTCGTCCATTACCTCCAAGGGGATAACACTTCAAAGCTTTACTCCTCTTGTGCCCTTATCATTGGCAAACAAACTATCTTTCCTTTCATCCTAATAGCCTAGGAAAAGGGCTGAATGACTAACAACCAACTCTGTTCCCAAGTCACGATAGCCGTTAATACACTACCCACCGCCAACATGGGGGGAGTACCTGAGGGGACCTGAGACGCCGAGTATAGGTGTTCGACAATGAAGGCTCTGGGGGAGCTTGGCATCGAGGACACGTGTCATAGAGAGGGTGCTTGAAAGGATCTTGATGTGGATGACACATGTCAAACACCAAACGCCTCGGGCACCTTGTATGTTGAGGACACGTGTCAATTGCAAAAGAACTTCGAGAGCATCGATGCCAAGGACACGCATCAACCTATAGTGGATCCACCACTGTAGTGTTGAGGACATGTGTCAACCCCCCATAAATCTCCTAATAAGTTCTATCAAATGCAATTAACTTAAAAGTCACAAAGAGAAGCAAAATAGATTAAAAAGAGTCACCAATTTTTTTGAATCATGTTAATGTTGAGACTATAAAAGGAAAGTGAGGTTGTAATATTAAAAGAAAGTGAGTTTATTGTTTTGCTATGAAAAGTGAGCTCCACTTTGAAGACTTGATATATAATTAGACTTCAAAGAGACTTGAATTAATTTTAGAGACAAAAGTGAGCTAAGTCTAAAAGTTCCAGTGCTTCGAATTAGAATTGCACATGCGTGTAGTGAGTTGTAGGGCGCACTTAGCCCATTCTTGGCACTTTTTTGGCGCATTTGGCATGTGGTGCAAGATTCAAATTCTCTCTATTATTGTTTTCTTTTAATTTTCTTTTTGGCATATCATTTACTATTAATAATTGAGAGATCAACTTGTATATAGTGTTTCGCACTAAATGCATGGTAGATAATCCAATAAGAAGAAATTGAAAGACAAAATATTAGAAGAAATCTCACTACACGTGGAGCATGTAAAGTGGGTAATCAAGATCGTGTGGTTGGTGTATATTTTTTTTCTTTGGATACCCTAATTAACATAGTTTGCCTAATTATTTAGGAATAGTCATTGATGATACTCAAAATATGGCTAAGGTCTAGCTCGGGCATTCAGCTCGGATTGACTAAGTTCATACCATGCAGCTCGAAGCGAGCTACCGAGGCTTCAGTTTAGCCTTCCACTAGCAACAACGCCACTAAGGTGACAATGAGGATATCATCTGGAGATAGCAAAAGTGTTACACATAAGGCACAATTGTCTCACACTCAGGCAAGAAAGCTGCAATCGCTAAAGCACCATTCACGATTGTTGCCTAACAAACGCAACCATTATGAATGGGGGCAAGGATCACGCTAGGGGATCAGAAAAGGCTTTGGAAGACTATAAATAAGAGGCATGTGATTCACGAAAGAAAGCAAGCAAGCAACTAGTCTAAGCAAATACTTAGTGTAATCTCCCTCCCTTTTTCAATAAAATCATCCCTAGGAGTAAGAGACTCCCTTGAGAGTGGATTAATCGAGCTCCCGAGTTGGTGAACCACTATAAACTTCCTATCTTACAATTCCCATTGCATTTGTCTAGTTCTAAAGAGCCTAGGAGCTCTGACTAGGCCATCCAATGATATCCAAAGAATCATAAGTCTATTTAATTTGCTACATATACCATCAGTTGGCACCATTTGTGGGAATGATTGTTCATGTAAAAATTCTATTGATACCTTTAGTAATTGATGGTTTCTATGGGTATAAGTCAGATGAACCCTCTACGTTTATAGAATCAGCAAGAAGTCACCATCAAAACACAATAGGAGAATCCTCTGCCTAATCCTCCAATAGCGAACCCCCCTCCACATGACGAACTCGAGACCCTTTGCCAAGCCAACCAACGCCTCCTCTAGAAAAATGAGGAATTGCTAAACCTCATCTATGCCTAACATCCCTAGAAGGCACAACTAGCCCAGAACGATCTTGCATGAGGGAAACATCAACGTCCCAATCCCTTAAGGGATATTACGGAGAAGAATGAACACAACCAATCAATTGACAATATTCGTTGTTGAATTCAAAGGAACAAAGAAGACGAGGAAGTGTAGAGTCAGAATAGGGGGACTAATAGAAATGAGCTTCCCCCATTCTCATAGGAAAAAAAGGATCAATTCTGGGAGCAACACTTTAAGGAAATTCAGCAGGAACTCAGCCACATGAAAGAGGCAAAACACTGGTGACTATTGACGCCCTGGTCCCGTAGATGGAATCCCCATTCACTCCAGATGTGTTACACTTTCTTCTTCCACCAAAATTTAGAATGCCACAAATGGAGACCTTTGACGAAACAAAAGACACCATGGACCACCTCAATACCTACAAGAACTAGATGGAATTTCATGGTTACTAGGATCTAGTATGGTGCCGAGACTTTGCCATCACCCTGAAGGACTTAGCCTTAGCCTGGTTCAACAGGCTGACCCCAACATCCATTTTCGTATTTAGAGAGCTCTCCATTTCATTTGTGTCACATTTCATTGGAGCTTGAACCTATTGAAAGCCAAGCTACCACTTGTTGAATGTGAAATAGGGTCTGAATGAGACACTACGGAACTATATCCAAAGGTTCAACTTAGAATCCCTAAAAATATACGTCCCTGATGAGAAGGTTTTCCTCGTCGCCTTCATCGCTGGGCTGGGGGTGCAATCAAAGGACTTAATGTTCTCCATATGCAAGAATCCATAAGCTAGTATAACTAAGATCCTGGCCAAGGTAGAGAAATACATCAATAACGAGGAAGCCCTTCTCTTAAAAATTGGTAGAAAGAGAACATCAAAGAAAGGAGAGAAATCAAGAACGATCTCCACAAAGAGATAGAGATCTCTCCCTAAAGAGGAGATGAGACATTAAAGATCACCAGGGTCCTCCACCTCACGAGCTACAACCAAGGTATGCCCCAAGGCAGTTCACTCTCCTAAATGCCATGGTGTCACAAGTGCTATATGAGGTGCACAATGAAATATTCTTGTGCTAGCTACCTTGGATGAAGGCAGACCCCACAAAGCGAGATGTAACAAAATACTGTGAATACTACTGGAACCATGACCACCTCACCGATGACTACATCCAGTTTAAGAAGGAAATTGAATTCCTAATCTAGAGGGGGCAATTGCACCACTTCGTGGCCTAGGAGAGTTAGAACCAAGATCCTCCCCCTCTTGTACCTCAGCAGCAAGCACCTCCACAGCACCAGTAGCCCATGGGAAAGATTAGAGTAATTTTAGTAGGATTTGCCAGAGGTGGAGAAACCAGCTCAGCTAGGAAGGCCCATATGCAAAAAGTTTAAGCTGAAGACGTATTGGACATACAGTCTATGTCCAAGGCACCTCAACTGACACATGGACATAACATTTTTGGACGCAGATCTAGAAGGCTGCCAACATCTTTGCCTTAGCCTTATTGCCTATAGAACTATCCACCGAGTTCTTATCAACAATGGAAGCTCTGCTGACATCATCTTTGCCTCAGCCTTCGACAAAATGGACATCTGTAGAGATAGGCTCAAGCCAGTGAGAACTCAACTATTCAAATTCTCAGGGGAAAGAGTGCTTCCCTTAGGATTAATCCAGTTCATCCTCACAATAGGATACCCTCCTTGCCAGCTGACCACCACCATAAGATTTTTGGTCATCAATGCCCTATAAGCATACAATGTCCTCTTGGGGAGGCCTTCCCTTAATGCCATGAGAGCCATTCCCTCTGGCTATCACCTTGTAATGAAGTTTTCCACTAAAAATGGCATTGGGTGGTCCGAGGAGACTAGCGCGTAGCAAGGGAGTGCTACATGACATCCATGAAGAAAAAGGAGGCTGTAGCTATACAATTGGACGAGCTCAATATAAGGGATGAGATGGAGACAAGGCCTACACTTTCGGAAGAACTGGAACCAATCTAGCTAGATAAGGACTTAGGGCACTTGGTGTATGTAGGTCAAGGTTGCTTAAGGACATAAAGGATGTCGAGGTGTTTGATTTGAAACAAAAGGATATGCAGGGGATTGATCCATCAATCATCACACACATGCTCAGTGTGAACCCGACCTTCAAGCCCATCAAGCAAAAGCGGAGAAGCTTTGCCCCAGAACACCAAAAATCCATAAATAAAGAAGTCTCCAAACTTCTTTATACCAAGGCCATCAGGGAGGTAGATTATTTGACCTGGCTGACCAATGTGATCCTTGTGAAAAAGATAAATGGCAAATGACACCTCTGTATTGACTTTATTGACCTGAACTGCGCTTGCCCCAATGATAGTTTTCCATTGCCAAGAATCAATTTTAACATGGACGCCATAGCAGGGCATGAAATGCTTAGTTTCATGGATGCCTTCTCAAGGTACAACTAGATTAGCATGGATCCCAATGGCCAAGGGAAGACGTCCTTCAGAACCAAGCAGGGGATATACTGTTACCAGGTCATGCCATTCGGGTTAAAGAATGCAGGAGTAACTTACCAACAATTGGTGAATCACATTTTCCAGAAGTAGATCAAGACATTGATGGAGGTTTACATTGATGACATGTTAATGAAATCATTAAAGGCTGAGCTCCACATTTGGCACCTCAAAGAATCTTTCCAAATTCTCAAAAAGTACCAAATGAAGCTCAACCCAGCCAAATGCGCCTTTGGGGTATTTGTAGGAAAATCCTAGGCTTTATAGTCAACAACCGAGGTATTGAGGCTAATCCAAAAAAAGTCCGAGCTATGATTGATGATTAGCACAAAATATTGTATATCATGTATCTCTTTGCACCCTTTTATACTTGTTTTTGTGGTGAAAATGGGAGAAAATTCATTTAATCTAACAATTAATAGAGTTTTGTGTGATTATAGGTAATGAGTGGGTAATGGCATGTGTTAAGCTTCCATTATAGTGTTTAAAGAAAATGGAGAAGAAGGGGAGGCTTAATGGGTGGCTCAGAAGGTCAAGAAACCAAGAAAATGGCAAATCAAGTGAAAACCTACCGGTTGGTTTCGTCATAGTTCTATCGATAGGTTTTGTACATTGAAAATTTTCTACTATTGCCTTTGCCAAAACCTATAGGTTTTGCCTATTGAAAAAATTCTACCGGTAGATTTATCATTGTTCTACTGGTAGGTTTTGCCCAAAAACACCAAAAGCCTATAATTTAGACTCTACCTACTTGGGGGGGCCCACCTTTGCTTTTCCCACACATACCCTAATACATTCTACATGCAAGCATGCCCTTTTACACCTAAAACCTGACTTTGGAAGAAAAAGGTATAGAAGAGAAAAAGAGAGAATGAGGCTGGTTAGTGAAGGCCTGACTTTTGCAGGCATGTCCTAGTATTGCTTGTAGCAGTACCCAAAGACCTTCCCACTCATTAGGAGTCTGCACATAGACCATAGAGGG